TAAAAAAAAGAGAAATCGTAGAAGACAAACTATAAACTCCGAGTGAAAAAAGTGCAGAGTGCAAACCGGTTGTGGGGGCGTATGTGGCTGGAAAATTATTCAGAGCAGCGGGAATCATGGTGAGCTAGGGCGAAAGAACGCACACTTGCACCTACCTACATAGCCAACGAGGCAAGCACACAAGTAATTCTTGGCAGTTTTCAGTTGGTACACTTGGTCATAAGTACGAGCGGGAGTGAGTGTGACTTGCCAACAGACAAGCAACAGCAGCACCGTAATTTCCTTTGCCACCTTCTTTACATTTTCACACACACACTCGCTCGCATCGTCATCTTCGTTGTGGCCGCATTGTAACCACCCAGCTATCCACCGCAAACTGGGTGTGTGTGTGTGTGTGTGTGTGTTTTGTTTCTTGATTTTCTTTGCTTTCTTACATTTACTTACTTTTCATATGCTTTTGGCATACAAATGAAGAAATATGAGTGCGCAGTTTTTAAACTTAAAATGTTGTTGAAGAACAGCAAGCAGCAACTGCAACAGTGTAAAGCATGCATAGTGGGCGTTAAAAGGACACAAACAACTACTACAAGAACAACAACAGCAGCAACAACAGCAACAAAAATAAGGCGAAGTAAAATCAAGAGTTGCACTCAAGTCAACCCCAACCACAACCCCAACCTCCTCCTCCTCCACATCCACAGCCACAGCCACGTACACGCCGTCAACATCGTTGCCTTCCTCAGTGACGTTTTGGCCACCCTCAGCCTTAGCCTTAGCCTCCGCCTCCGCCTCATCAGCGACGTTGTCGTCATCATCATTACCCGAGTTATCTGTGCTGCGTCCAAATAATATTACATAGCGCGCGCGCGCAGCTGGAGCCGAGACTGTAACTGAAGTATCCAATAGTGCCGCAGCTATAAGCGAGCGCAAAAATCAAATCTCGTGCAGCTTTAAATGAAATATTAATATTTGTCATCATTCGTTGGCAAGTTTGTGGATATCGTTTTTACGCCAAAGTCACCGAGCGTGCAAGAGTGTGAGAGAAGTCAACTTGTAGAAAAAAATATATAAAAATATATCCAGTAAAAAGCCAATAGCTGGGTGGCAGCGACCACGTACAAAAACATAAAGTTAAACGCACAATCATAAAAAATACATACTCTACAAAAAAAAAAGCTAAAGCAAAAACAAAAACAAAAAACCTGGCAGCTACCAAGTCCTTTGCAGCTTTGCAGTGTTTTCAGCGCTTTTTCGCTGCACTTCAAATTCATAACTTTGTAAATGCGCACTGTAAAGACATAACTGATACTTAAAAATACATAACTACATACTTGCATACGTAACTAGATTTGTAACATATCCGTGTCGTCGGTTACAAGTGCACGTTGCTGCAACGCCAGTTACAGTTATAGTAGTATTTAAGTCGTTTGCGTTAGCGCACAAGGAAGTCCGTTTGTCGCGTACCTATGCACGTGTGTTTGTAGTCTCAGTAATTGTGTACTTGCTCTTGTGTGCGTGTTTAGTGTGCAGTACGTAACAGCAACGACAATTTTCCTCAAAATGCGTCTACAATATCGCAATAAAAAAGCGACGCTGTGGGTGATGGTCGCCGTCGTCGTTGTCACTATGTTCCTCTTCAAATTCACCGAATTCGCGCCAACTTGTTTCTTCAAGAACGATGTGACGGCGCCGGATGGATCGCTGATGGTGCACGAAGAGGTAAGAGACGGCTGTATCTGAGCTGCTCGAAGCAATTTTACATACCTATATGTAATTATATTTCTTACCTGCGTATAAAGGTATTAGTTCATATATATATGCATGTGCATTAGGGCAGTCCAAAAATGCATGTTAAGAAAGTAAAGTCGGAATTTTAATGCTCTCACCCACTAGGATTGTTCCAAATCGAAAAATATACGCCTGTCGCTCAAAGCGCTCAAAGTTCTCCATGTATGAAAAAAAAATTGTAATTACAGGATTAAAAATTTTGGAATAAAATTAAACACACGGTGTCCCTGCGGTATCCCAGAAAGAAAAAAATTATCAAAATTTCAAAAATGGTAAATTTTAATGGAATGAAAAAAAATATATGTAAAAATATGTTATTTTTTTATTATTTTATTAAATAGTACGGGCTTTTAGCTTTCGAAAGTAGAAGTAAAAACCTGCGAATTTTTTGCACTTTTTGAAGTAATGCCGATTTGCTAATGAATAAAATTATTTTTTTCATTTTTTGTCAGTGCCATCAGCTCTGCACGATGCGTTCTATTTTCAAAAAAGCGTTGTAAAATGAAGTGCCAGATTAAAAAGCTTGACCTGTAGACAATATAGATTTTTTTAAGAGTTGCCACCTGTTATTAAAATCAAATTTTTTATTAAGTTAAATGAATTATTAAGATATTGGTATCAATCGAATTGTGTATGAAAATTTCATTAAATTCCGTCCATAATTCAATTTTTGCCCAGATTTCATATGGAAGGGAAGCACTGTGGGCCGTACAATAAAAAACATTCGTACAAAAGTTGTGGGGAATGAAAATCTCTACAACCTTGATACTTGAACATGCTACGTGTTTTCAACAGAAATTATTGAAAAATGGCGAAAACCGTGACAAGTTAAAAATTTTTCGCGGTTTTTGCTAATTATTTACAATAAAAAATGTTGTTTTTTTTAACCTTCTATGTAAAAAATGTGGGAAATTAAATTCCCTACGAATTCGTATTTAACGATTTTTTCACGGAAAATGCAAAACAAGCTTGCAAATAGCAAAAAAAAACCCCGAAAAAAATACTAAAATTCAAGCTGGCGGAATGTTGCCATATGAAATTTTAGGGGCAAGAAGGTGGATCTACATATGCTCTACTGGAAGTAAACTGCATCAAAAAATCGCTATTACAAATTTTGTTAGAAAAAGTCTAAAATGCTCAACCTACTCTACAAAAACATCTAAAATATCAACGGTGCTGAAATTTGATAGGCTCTTCGAAAATTTTCAAAAAATTCTTTATAAGAAGTTTGAAATTTTAATTATTATTTTTTTTTTATTTATTTGAACTTTTTGCAAGCTTTGAAACTTTTATTTATGTGGTTTCTGTTATAAGTGGAACTATATTTTAAATGAAAGTTATTAAAAATAAATAAACTTGTCGAAGATGTTAGGGTTTTCTTCCATATAAAAATAAATTGTGTTTATTCGTTATATGGAACCAGTTGAAACAATAAAAAACCATTTGAAGCTTTTACTCTATTCTATTAGAATTCAATGAGCTGTAAAACTGCGTGCTGAAAATCTTGCTAGAAAATCGAATTAAAAAATCTCAAGATGTTTAGAAAGTTTGTTGAATTTTTTTCCAACATTGTACAAACATACAAACCAAAATCAAATGACAAAAAAAAAAGAAAACGACATGTTAAAACTATTCAAAATGTGGTGCGGCTATAATTTGTTCGACCACTGTATATTCCGATGAATTGATAACCTAATTTTGAAGTCAGTTAAAAATAGCTTTTTTCATTAAATTTATATATAAGCTTCACTTGTAGTAGACTTTTTAATTACTTTCTTATATCTTTTCTTCTATTTTAGAAATATCTTATGGCCGAAGATCAAAAAACCTATTCATATGGCCGCGAAATGCCGCTAATATTTATTGGCGGTGTTCCCAGATCAGGAACGACGCTGATGCGCGCCATGTTGGATGCACATCCGGATGTGAGGTGAGTGACCCATAAATCATTTGCACAGTTAAGTACATATGTACATACATACATGCTATATATGTATGTATGTAGGTATAAATGTAAGAACGCAAGTAATTCAAGTGGTTGTGCAGATGTATGTACATATGTGTAAACAATTGCACTTTGGTACAAACACATCTGATTACATATATGTATACGCATGTACATATGTGCATACATTTATAGGTATGTTTACAACGTCGTAATAACAATGTGGGCAACGTGCATGTGGCAGCCATCAGTGACTTCAGTGCTGGCAAAACAAGTGCTGTGGAAAAAAAAACGTTTGAGAATTTTCTAAGTGCATACACATTTGCATTGGCACTTGAGCTTAATCGATACACAAGCGACGGTACTATGTGCAGTGTATTTGGCTTGAAACAGTTTAATCGACTTGGGACCCATAGGTGCGCGATAAGAGTCGGCCGGCCGGCCGGCATATACGACATACATACATAAGTTTACTTATAAACATACATACCCACATGCAGCCATACAAACAAATGCACATGCTTACAAACAAGTGTTTTTCCATTACATTTATGAGGTTCCCTTTGCGATTTTCAGTAGCAGAACTAACTTTTTTTTTGCCTTTTTCATGCATGAAGTTTGTAAACAAATGTATGCATGTGTGTGTGTGTGTAGTTGATTGTCGTTTTATTGATTTTTCTTGCCAACAGTTCAGCTGCCAATGCAAATTACTTTCTCATCAGAATTTTATGCATCTCAATGTAATGCTTGTTCCTAAGCTACAGCTTAACCATATACTACAGCCATGAGTATTCCCCCTCTATTCGATGAATTTTGCCATATCAGCTATTCGCTCTGCGCTTTAACTGAACCCCATTCCTTCCTGCATACATATGTATATATGTATATATTTATGTGTTAAATATCAATTTGCACACGTTTTATAGCGGTAAAAAAAATGCTAGCAAAAGTGATAATCGAATTGTACTTAGCAGTCATCAACATTTTGAATTTTAAAACATTTTTGCTGACATAATTAAATTAGCGTTGATATGGAGATTGTTTACATAAATGTGCACGTCTCAGACATACATATACATATATTTACATACATATTGCTACCTTAGAGTGCAAAGTTGCTAACTTCACTTATGAAAAATCATATTTTGATACAGGAGGCTAAATGAATTAAAAATGCATCGTTTCGAATAGGGCAAAGGTCCGTGTTTTATGTTTTTCGTTCATATTCAATGAAAGGAAAATTAGCTGGGTCCAAAAAAAGCTCCGAAAATTCGATAAGGCCGAAATAGTTCGAAATATTTTAACAAAGATCGAATCCCTCTAATTCGTATGGAGTTTTGCTTTGATTTAAAAAGGCAAAATTTTGTATTCAAATATTGCGAAATACTTGAAGAAAATTGCCAGAAGAAGTTTTTTCTCTCCTGTACATTTTTTAATTGGGACTTAGCAACTTTGTATTCTAAGCTAGCACATAGTACATACATACGTACACAATAGACCAGATCAGACCAAAAAAAGTCCTTATAAGGACACTCAAGAGCACAGATGAGCATTTTCAGGTATAGAATCCTCGCTGTCCCACAGGATGAAAAGTTTTCGCGTACATCGGCTAACTGAGTCGTGTGATCTCTTGATTCGCCACTTTTACAATTCCTCATAATATTTATGAACTGGTTTCTTTGAGTCTTACTCCTGTAATAACGGCCACTCCGAGCAATTTCGTCAATCGGATATAGATGCAAGATCGCATTTGGGGTCTATGAGGGCGTCAGACAAAGGTGCCCGTACACAATGTTGCGGTCTTTATATGCCATCTGCAAAGTAAATTCGTGTAAGGTAAACATGGGGCCAAAGCAGACCAAACCCCGTGTGAGTTTGTATAATTTTCGGCTGCAGCGCCATCGATTGGGTCACTTTTCTGCAAAACCATTCTTACGCATTTTAAATTTCAATCAGATTTTACACAACATACGGATTTTCTAAATACCTAAACTGCAGCGGGTACATTTTGAGGAAACTAATTTTTCATCATACAGGTAGCTCACGTTGCGAATCTGAAGGAAATCAATTCATAAATACGTCGTTTTTAAATAGCTCGATTCCAGCACCACCTAGCGGGTCCGTTTTTCGCAAATGCTTGTTTCATTATGCAGGTAGCTTACATTTTGAATTTGAACGAAATAGGTTCATAAATAGGACTTTTATAAATAACTCGACCCCAGCGCCATCTAGCGAATTCTCTAGTAGTATAATAGGACCATATATGCAACGTATAATCTCTGAAAATTTGACTGAAATCTATCCCGTAGTTTTTGAGTTAAGTCCGAACAACAAAAACGGCCATTATTTTATATACATTTGTATATATATAGATATACATATAATAGTTTTTGTCTCGAGTAGACAATGTTTTCTATTTCTAAGTCTCTTATCACCCTAATGCC